TGCAGAGCCGTACTCATAGGAGCTGTTCAACAGATAAGTACTAAATTGAACTCAGTCTACCTGAATGTACTGCCAAATTTAATCTAGATATTGTCATTTAATAAGATGAAAACAAAGTTGCAGTCACTTCTTTGGATTCTCACAAATAGCAGGGAGATAGTACTATGTAATGGTTATAAGACTGCGTATCTGAGATCAGTCACTTGAAGTACAGTGTCTAGAACAGATTAGGCATTTAAATGTTTGCTTTTGTGAATAAATGAACAGATAGAGCAGCCTAAATTTAAATCCTGAATCCACCTTTTCTTAATTGTGCTATCCAGCTAAGTTGGTTAACACTTCTAAGGCTCAGTCCCTTTATTGTTAAGATAGGATAGCAATAGTACCTACACTTGGAGGTTTTATAAATATTGAACCTAATCATGAATATAACACAGTAAAGGATCTAACAGATAGTGAACCCTTATAATAGCCCATAATAATAATAACAGTTATTATTATTGTTATATTAATCATTAACTTGTTGGCCTGAACAAATATTGTCTAATTTAACTCAGTATCACTTTACTTGCACAGATGCATTGCTGCTTAAAAATTCAGGCAGGTAATATGGCTACATTTTTTAAATTAAAAGAAACCTGTAAGTTAATAAACTTCTACAAATTAGGAAAGGACTTTACTCAAGTTGCACACCTTCTTTTTAAGAATGTGTGAATTGCGTGGGGGTGGGGTGCAAAAACTGGTGTTTGAAAAAGAAATTAAAAATAAGTCTTTAAGAAATAAAAATCTGTGTCTTTTGGCATTGCTACAGTGTAGAAAATGAATTTGCAGTATTTAGAACCATTGGCCAGATTGAAAGCTATGGTACCTAAATCCAGGCTGGATTTAGTTTCCCTGAAAGCCACCCACAACTCTAAATGCTGTTTTCTAAATGTGTGTGCTCAGAGTTTTGTTAACCCAAATATTAGGTATGATTTTAAAAATTGTAGAGAAACTAGCTAGTCAAATACAGGATCTTAGAACTGTGGGATTTTACAACTGAAATGGATCTTGGAGGTAATCTAGCTCAAACTCCAAATTTTGCAGATGAAAATACGTAAGGCCTAGAGCGGTCTTATAATTGCCTGGTAACTTTCCTTTCGTGGCACAGAAGAACTTACTACAACTTTTGGTGCCATCACAGGACTTTATGAATGAATGGCTTTTGCACAAAAGCGAAGAGGACAATGTCAGAATCAGTTCACTTCATAGGCTTCATCACTTGGTAAGAAGAGAAAGCCAACAAGTTCTGGGGAGTCAAGTGCTCCTTCACTGAATAAGTGATAAGTATTAATAAATTGCCTTTGCAAGGCATGACCCCAGAGCTGACAATAAGCTTTTCCTGTAGGTTCCATGCAGAAGGCTGGAGGATGTCCAATAACCAAACCAAACCAAAACAAAAAACTGAGCTTCACATTAATATAACATTCAGAATACAGCTTTGCAAATGGTTAAAAAGGAAGTCTTTCTAGTGCTTCTGAGACTAAACTCCACTGGAGAATGCCAGCACATCTATAATGACAAGGTTCAGATATATTGGCAAATTATTGGTAAGTAATTTTCATAATCCTATAGAGGAAAGAATTAGTTCTACATATGGAGTCTTCATTTCTACTTTTAAAATTTCTTTTTCTGTTCCTTTTTCTTGTCAATGATACAACTCTACTCTTCCAAATATATAAGCTAGAGAGGCAAGTAAGAAGTTCTGAATTAAAGGGCTAAGGGCAGTTTTTAAAAATTAATTCCATGTGCTGTTAATAAGTGTTACCTGAACAAAAGTTAAGTGCTTGGAAAACATTGCATTAGTTAAATTTAAATAGGATTCATCACTAAAACATTCCTTAGTGCCTTTTATATGCTAATGTACACTGTGACTCCTTTGGGAGAGTTGTGTAGAATATAATGTTCAGCACTTTCCTAACTGATTTGATTTTTTTACCCACAAATCCTACTTTAGTAGTAGTGTACTAGAGCATGAGTAAACAAAAAGCAGTTTAACTATGACTTGAAAACTTCTAAATTACATCAAATGACGTAAGAGGAAAAAAATGAAAACCGTTTATCTTTGAGTAAATTCTTGGCTTCTTCAAAGGATGATCTCTACACAGGTAAAATGAGGGTAAAGTTCTTGGCTAAAATGCAAAGCAAGGATTTAATATGAGTGTTTTCCTAAGCGTAGAACTATGCTGGAAGCTGGAAGAGGTGATAGGAAGACTTGCGTCATGCCCAAAATGTCAAAGTTAAAAATGAAACTTCTTTCATTCAAGGTATGGAGAGAATGGAGGGAGTTGGAGTCAGTTCCCTCCCAGGCTCCTGCTGCCTTTTCACCACCTCTAGTGACCCATCAGAGATTCTTCAAAATCTGGGGACTCTATGGGATACAGTTAAAAACAATACATTTTTATATGTACACAACTCCCTCACTTTCTAAGTTTGTGAGAAAGGGGGTAAATTGCTAATTACCAGAAAAAATAATGTTCGTAGACAGCAGTGCTATAAAGCAAAAAGCCCTCTCGTTTTGATGAATACTTTGTTGCAACTAGCTGAGTTTAGGCTTAGGAAGCTGGAGAGAGTTGACTAGTTAGGCATAATCATCTAGATGTGTTAATCTAGTTACACAATCATCTAGAATGTTGGGTCTCAAAGGCAATCTAAGGGTAAAGAAAGAAAATAAGTGAAAAATGGTAAAGGAGGAGAAGATTCAGTCAGAGGATATGAAGCTGAGGTATACAGTGTTGCAGATGTTGTCAGGGGCTGTTATCCTAGGGCAGAAGATTTGTAATTAAAGACAAGCCTAAAATTCGATTTTAAATTATGTACATTATTGTGATTATAAGCCATTCCTGGCCTCTTCAGATCTTCAGTAAAATTTAAAAAATACTGTGGAAATGAACATGAAGCAAGTTTCATGTCACAGAATGGGACATGGTCAGACTGTGTGGGACAATTAAGTCATAAAATGACATAATCCAGTAGTAGAAAGGGCTCCTACCATACAAATAGAAGAAATGTAGACATTAGCAGAAATCATAGAGAAAGCCAGGCACTTTAATAGACTATACAATGAATGGTTAGTAATGTTATTTAAATTTTAAGGAACAGAGCAGTCCCAGCTAATGGACCATTCTGAATAACAGAAGAAAGTTTTGATTTTATATGGAAGAACTTTTCCACTCCAATGACTTGGAGTTTCCACCACCAAGAAATGCAACAATCCCCAAATGAGTTGGCCTGTATTTCTAATGATCAATTAGCCACATCTACTTGAATGCCTTACTCATGCTTTAAATTCAGCATGACCCTGATGGTACCTTCCCCACTTCCTCCCAAATCCCTGTGTCTTTGTTTCCTGAGTCTGTGAATGCTTCCATTACCTGTCCTGCTTATCCTGAACTCTTTTCTCCCATTTATACCACATATGGAACTAGTCACCAAACCATTTTAATTTTCACTGCTTGCATATTATCCGCTTCTGTGTTTTTTTGCTTCCCCAGTGTAGCTTGCATTACCTTGCTGAAACAGTTCTAAGCACTTATCAACTGCTCACTCTCTCCATTCTATCAATCCTCCAGGCTGCATCAATTATTACATAAAACGCAGATCATGTCAAGTCATGTTACTTTTAAACTTTATTATCTAGCTCCCCATTGCTCACAGGATGAGGGTCTCTGTAGCCTGGCTAAAAGATGTCAGGAAAATGTGTTCTTGCACCACTCCAAGCTTTAACTACTTTCATTCCCCGTCCTATATGCTATGCCACAAGGTCACACATACTATTTTCACTGCCTAATCTTTTCTCTTCATCTTTTGTCTTTTTCCACAAAGACCTTGAGTCCAAGCAAAACATTCACGCTCTGTCTCTTTAGCGTAATTCAAAATGTCAGTGAAAGATAAAAATAAGAGATCTGATAAGGATTTATGTTCTTTCTTCAGATGATGTTTGCATTGTTTAATGTTTTACCTTAAAAGAATAAATAATATGTATAATTCAGCATATTGTGTCACACTTGCAGGAAAAAACCTGTGATTGCTCAAGTTATACCTCACAGGTAATGAACATTCTACATGTTTGGCTGGGCTTGACCAATGAAGTGACCACTGTCTCAGGGGTAACCATTCCTTATAAGGCTGCATATGTAGTATAAAAGGCATAGGATATAGTTTGAGAATAGAGTTTGAGTATCCATGTTATCATTCACTGTTGAAGCGGTCTTAGGAAAAATATATCACTTTTTGAACCTCAGTTTTTAAATCTGTAAGACAATATCTACTTCTCAGGGTTGTTATGCATTTCAAATGGAATTAGGGATATTAAAAGACTCTGCAAATGGTGGAGAAAGGATATTGCAATCTATAAAGCAACACACAAATGTGAAAAAAGGGTGCTATGAAAAGACAACTAGACATGGAGTCAAAATACATGGGGTTATGGGTTGATCTGTGGTCCACAAAAAGACATGTTAAAGTCCTAACCCCTGCTACCTGTGAGTGTGACCTTATTTGGAAATTGGTTCCTTGCAGAAGTAATTAAGATGAGGTTATTAGAGCAGCCCCTAATTCAATATGACTAGTATCCTTATAAGCAAAGGAAAACACAGAGACACATGAGAAAATGGCATGAGAAAAAGGAGGCAGAGACTGGAGTGATGTATGTATAAGCCAAGTAACACTCAGGCTTGCCAGCCACCACCAGAACCTAGGAGACAGGCATAGAACAGATTCTCTCTTAGAGTCCTCAGGAGGAACCAACCCTGCTGACACTGATTTCAGACTTCTAGGTTTCAGAACTGTGAGATGATATATTTTTATTGTTTTAAGATACCAAATTTGTGGTCCTTTGTTATTGCAGCCCCGGGGACCTAACATACGTAAGTGTGAATTTTAGCTTCATCACTTATGAGCTCTATGAATTCAAGTTAAATTATTTGAGGTTTTCCCCCTGACATTTTAAAGACACTTACCTTTCTGTGATTGTTTCTCTGAGGCCACTTGCCACCCCTTTGACTACAGTGCTAGCTTTGGGGGTCAGCACCACCTGAGATATAAAAAACGATCCCTTCTTTCTTCTTTCAGTGATGGATGCTTGAAGAAACTGGATCAGTTTCTCAGGGTCTGTGGTGTTGGCCCAGGGTGCTGGCATCATCTGCCCGGGCCAGAGAAAGGGCACTTCCAGAGCCACTGGACTATGGTAGAAGACCAGCACTTGATAGTCTTTCTCCCACAGGTACTTTAAACTAACTTCCTGGGCAAAAATCGCTGGGCACATTTTATTTCCATAGATGTCTTTCAGCATTTGGACCAGTTTTTCATGGTGATATTTCTGCATCCCATAGAAGTGGTTGAAGTCCAAGAACACTACCTCCTTATGGTGATCTGTGAGGAATGCATTGATCTCCTCAAGGCCTTCATTGACTTTGGCACTGAACAAACCATGAGCAAAATAGAGTTCATTGTCGGGGTCTCTGGGCTTGGTGGAAATTCGAAGATCAAAATAACGAATTCCAGCTCCTAGCTGGCCAGTAAAATTCATTGTCTGAGTGGCCAACCATTTCCGCATGAGCTTTTTGGCCACAGTTCCAAACACAGAGACAAAATTCTGGACAGTTTCTGGCTGTTCAGGACCTACTGGAGAGGCTTCATCAATGTAGAAGCTGAAGGAATCATGAGACCCTAGGAGAATAACAAGCATAGTGTGGTTAATTTCCAGGTCTTTGTCCTTCCCAACTTCTTTCCCTCTTGCAATATCCATACCTCTCCCTCAAATGAGACACAGGAAATACTAAGAAATTTAGTACTAGTTATTTTTTATGCCTTAGGAGAGTCCTTTACATAATTTGACATAAGACACAGAACACTTCAATAGATCAAACTGGTTATAAAAGAATAAGAAGATTTCGTTATCATTAAATTTAAAATTTAAATAATCATCTATTCTGTGAACCGAGAATGTAATACACTCACTAGAATTGGCTTTCCATATGGGTGACATAAGTGATCATTCATAAAGCGATATGTATGAAGACTCACCAGTACCCCAATACTTTACAGTCTTACCCTTCTCCTTGATTTTGGGTTGATTTTAAGCCTAGAAGGATTGTGTCAATGAATAAAGATGCCCTTTTCACAAGCAATCAGCATTCGAATTGTTACCTCATTCACTTTGGAAGGCACAGGAGGTCAAAGTGATAGAGGGAAGGAGAAATAAGACAAGAAGGCAGTACAATGCTGACATATTTAACTTCATTCCTGACCTTGTATTTGGGCAACTGTAAACTTAGATGAAGTCAAGTACTTTTCACATATTGAATAAATGATTAACTGTTCTTGCAAGTCAACAGCATTTAAAAATTAACAGCATTTAAAAATTGGCAGCATTTAAAAAGTAACTAATAGACTCTTCACAAATTTTCTCTCAATAGCATAAACTCTTTTGGGAATTGGCTTCTAAATTTAGAATGATTTCTTCCTAGGAAGAAAAAGGACTATTTATTTTATTAGTTTTGGCAGTTGCAAATTTCAAGACTCCAGAAATGTAGCAATGAACATGTGTGTGATTTGTCACAAACAGAGAGTGGCATTTGAAACTCTTTATTAGGACCCAATAAAGAAAAGTTATTTCAAGGTTGCATTTTATTTCCTAAAGCCTCCTTTAATTCTTAGGCATAACCCACTGAAGAGCTAAAATTAAATTAACATATTCTAAAAATTTCATACATTAGAGGGCAGATATGCTTTAAATTCTGACACCCTCTCCTGTTTCATGACCTTGTCCTAGTAACATCGTTCCCCATCTGTTACTCAGGCTTCCTCTGAGTACACTTTGTTGCCCCATTCCTGATTTTCCTCCCTTGAGGCACATATTTTCCTAGTTCTTTCACTCCCCAACCCAAAACTCACATACATATAAATACACACAGGCACACACAAGAATCTTAAGTTTATCCATACAACACTTCAAAGCCTTGGTCTGATAAATTAGTTGAAGGATTGTTTTCAGTGATGTAATATATACCATTCGTCTATATTCCATATCTAAGTCTATTTCTATCTATCTATCTTTCTATCTATCTATCTATCTATCTATCTATCTATCTATCTATCTATCTATCTATCTTTCTGTCTATCTATCTATATCTAGCTTTAACAGCCCATAAGAATCACAAGTGCCTAAATTTCAGACACCATGGTAGGTTGTTAAAGAAAATAATTTGCAAAATATTTTGATACCCTGAAAATCACAACCTTTAAAATTTAGATAAGTTCTCAGAATGATTTGCTTTTTCAAAAACAATAAAAGATAACCCAAATATACAGAAATGGCATGTTTAATTTAATCTGAAACTGCATGTCTTATCTTTAGTAGATGGTGTGGCAAGAAAATGTCAATCCTTTCTGAATAAGCAAAGCTGGAAGTTAGGTTCTGATTGGTAAGTTTTAATAAACATTTAAATTGCTGCATACTGGTTTATTAGTTGCTATTCATCTGACTGCTAATTTAAATGAAAGCTAAACAAATGGTGCTAGAGCTCAATATATACAAAGAAGTATGTCTAAAGATAGAAATGAAAGAAAGTTTAAGAATAATTATGATTAAATGATCTAAGATTAGGAGAGATAATAAATAAATTTATTTAAAAATAAATTTAAACTCTCAAAATAAAAGTTAAAAAGTTAGTTTCAGGGCACATGAAGGGAAAGGTAGATGAAAGTAATTGGTTACTTCTGTAATCTAGTAGAAATTATACTTGGAGGCAGGCAAAAAGAGAATTAAGTATAACTAGATTTCTTTTACTAGAAATGAGTGGTTCTTTTTTTTCAATATGGCTTTAGTTTCACCTTTCTATCACATGGTTATGTGGCAAGTAAAAAAAATTGTAAAAATAAAATTTTAAAGGCAAGGAAATCACCACTTTTGAAAATACTGTGAAAGGATACTATACTTTCTAGAGTACATGATTTGTTGACTTTCATGGAAAGTAGCTTCTTAAGGTCAAAATAAGGGAATGTTAAAAATAAAAATAAACAGTCAGAAGGAGAAGCCAATGGTGGCTTCACCAGTATGTGTTTTAAGCCAGATGACTTTGAGGTGTAGCCACAGCACCTGGTATAAAATGGTGCTTCATACTGTAAATCTTATTAGAAAAGAAAATAAAATCAATAGATACAAAACAGTATCTATGCATTTTGTAAGAAAATATATAATCTACTTTTGGCTAAAAAAAATGAATATTTTGATGACTTTTAATTTTATTTGGAGTAATACTTCTCAATTTCAACATCTTTACGGAACCAGTAAGTTTTCTATTCGTTTGAATGTAAAGCAAAAATACAGCAGTACTTCATAACCATTCAATAATTGTGAGGAAAAGCCTAACCTCGTGTCTTTAAAGCCAGGAGTCCTGTTTGTTCTTGAACTTTTCTGCTACATCTGGTCTGACATTTTGCTTCTATATTGACTTGGTATTCCTGGGCTTCTGACCTTTTATTCTTCTCTCATCCACAGTCTCAAACTCATACCTTGGACCTGGTACTTAATGTCACTCCTCTGATGTTGAATTTAGTTTCTCATCTTTAGGTTCCATTTGCCCTCTCTCCTCAGACAAGGGCTAACCACTCCCATTATACACCCAGTCCCATCAAGTTTGGTTGCTTTGGCTCTGAATAAGTAAATGTAATCAGAGCAACTATTTGTTTCATTTCTTGGAAATAAGCACTTTAATTTGTTTCTCCTCAGTGTGATAAATTGTACCGTCATTCAGGCACTGTGGGAAGCCCACTTCTAAGATGGCACCTAACAATCCTTGCCCTCCTGCATTCATATCCCTCTCTGTGAGTGTGGGCTGAACCTATGACTTGCTTCTAATGAATACATAAGACAAACATGATGGGATGCCCTTTCTGAGATTAGGTTACAAAAGGTTATAACTTCTGTCTTGCTACTTTTTTCCTTGCTTTGATGAGTGAACTGCCATGTTGGAGAGGCCCATGTGACACAGAGGTGGGAGTGGCCCTTGGCCAACAACCAGCTGGGAGAAGAGGTCTTTAGACTAACAGCTCTCAAGGAACTGAATCCTGTTAACCGTCAATGAGTAAGCTTGGAAATAGATCCTGCCTGAGTGAGACCTTGATTGCAGCCCTGGGAGAGAGACCAAAGCAGAGAACCCAGTTAAGTAATGCTTAGATTCCTGATTCATAGAAGTACCCAGAAACTCTGTGTTGTTTTGCGCAACTAAATTCAGGGGCAATTGGTTACACAGAAATAGTTAACTAATATAGGCCATCTCTTTGTGGTTAATGAGGGGACTTGTGGCCAATAGACCCAACTGGCTAAAAGGAGAAGTTGGAATTTCAAAGAAGAGAAATTAACTATGTTTATGTTATATGCATGTTTCTATTATTGAAAACTGTATCAGATATGAGAAAAAATTTTAAAGATGGTTTAAAAAATATTGAATTCACAAATGGACTTTCTTTTTTCCACATACTGTTATGGATGATCTGAGATATTATCTGGCCTAACCAATTGGCACATAGCATCAATTTTATTACCTTATCAGTGTGGAACGTGTGTGTGTGTAATCATTTCTATATTTTATGATTTCCAGTAGTACTGGACTTAACTTCTTATCCCGTCATTTGGTATGGTAGGAAGATTGCCCCTAAAACATCCTTCTCCTGGTGATAAGACCTATATAATCCCTCCCCTTGAGTGCAAGGTCTATGATTCCATATTGTTCTTGTGATTATGTTACATTATATAGAAATGAGATTTTTAAAAATATGTAATTAAGGTCCCTAATCAGTTGGCTCTTAGTTAATCAAAGAGAGATTATCCTGAGTAGGCCTGACTTGAGCAGATAAGCTCTTAAAAGAGGCAACAAGCTGCAACAGATATTTTCCTGTTGCTCTTACAGAAGCAAAATGCAATGTTGTAGAGAAGGCCATATGGCAAAGGAAGTCATTAATAGCTCACTAAAGTGGTATAAACATTTATTTAAACTGAAAGCATCTGAACAATCAGCAGCAACAGAAAAAAAATATTATTTAAACTTAAGCAGACCCTCCTGAAAATATAGTTGCCATTGCCTCCCCTTCTGATTGAAAAAAAGACTGATCCTTATCACCAGAAAGTGCAAATATAGCTGTCCATAAGCATCATAAAGCCCAGTAGACCATTCCATACTTTTCCAATTAAAATCTTAACCTTTTTGTTAAGTTTAGTATGTGAGCCTTTATTTATGGTTATTCAGGGAGTTACTCCTCACTGAGCACTCCCATCTGCATACCATGCATGCATAAATAAACCTTGTGTTTTCATCTGTTAATCTGTCCATTGAAAGTTAGTTTGCAGGCCACCAATCACTGGACCCAAGATGAAAGGGAAAGGTTTTCCTCAAAATATAGTGAACACTAAGTAGCCTCTAGGAGCTGAGGTCTAAGCTCCTACAACTCAAGAAACCACGTTCTGTGAACAACCAACAAGCTTGTAAAAGGAACCTTAGCCGCAAAAGAGATTGCAGTCTTGGTCAGCACTCTGATTTCAGCCTGGTATCATCCTGAGCAGAGGTCCCAGCTAATTCATATCCATAGTCCTTATTTACAGAAGCTATGAGAAAATTTGTATTGTTTAAGCCACTATATTTGTGGTCATTTTAATGCAACAATAGAAA